CAAGGGAGAAATTACTCATGATGTGCATAGGTTATACCCACATTCATAGGTAAAGGGTACCAGGGAGGAAGAATCTTGAGACACTTGGAGGACATTTTAGAATTCTGTATAGCACAAGAAAGAGGAACACACACAGTAAGGAGGAATTGAACAACTCATTTGAATATTGCTACTGTTTCTTTCTTTTATCTCCTGTTAGGAAGAGGGATGAGGAAAAGGATTCAAAATTCCTTTTGACCTGAATGTAGTTCAGCTATCTGGAAATAGACCTTTTTTTTCAAAGAATAGTATAACATGTATTGAGTGAATATTGCATGTTATCCTTAATTTATTTTTAGGTCTTGCAATTCTACAGAAATTGTAAGACAGGTAATATTTTTATAGACTGTCATTAAACACATTACCTCTCTTACAACGTAGATCCTCTTTATAATTGAAAAAAGTGAGGCACAAAAATATTAAGTTGCTTATCAAGGTCAAAATGCTGGTGAGTGTTGACAGTAGGATCATAGACTCAACATATTACATACTCAATAAATGTTATTAATTTGATTATTGCTTAGGATTATTAGAACAGGTAATTTTACAGGAAACCCTAGAGGACATGAATACATACATACACTCAGCTAGGACTGTTGCTTGTTTTAGGTTAGAACTGAACTAGATTTGTATCTATCTTGAGGGAACATAAAATTAAATTGAGAAAGAACTAATTCAAAGTACCTTCTGTTTAGCAATGCAGTCTCATGCTGCCCAACTTCTCAGTGTACTGAGTAGGGAAACAGAGAAGAAAAAATAGACAAAATATTATAATGATCATGAAAACCAAATCAGAATAGCCAATCACCATTCCTGGAATCTCCATTATATTTCAAAAAGCTAGCAGATGAAAAGCATTCAACTTGGGTTTCATGTAGTGGCATAACTAGACTTTGACCAAATAGAAATGGCACCAAAATCATACAAGTAGATTCTCTGTCTCAAAACCTGACTTTGACTTTTCAACAGGAATGTGGATCATGTCGTCTCCATACTTTAAGGACCCATTGTGAGGTAGATAGAGTTACTTTTTTTCTTATTCCCATCACCCTGTTCTCTACCTCCAAGAATTGATTGTCATCTAAATACTCTTTTATCACCTGGGCAGAAATGACAAAGTCTCATGAAGAGCTAGGAATCAGACTCTAAGTCGGGGTTACTGTAGAGAGTGGAGGTGGGTATGCAAAGACCTGCAGCAGGCAAAGATGTTGCAGAAAGTTTAACATGTAAGATGCAAATGCTGTCAGAAGAGATGTGGGAGTGGAGCAGAGCAGGGATGTTGATGTGATTTTTTTACCTGTGATAAAAATTCAGACAAGTGGAAAAACAGGATCACATCCCGGAATTCGTATCCTGTAGAACCCATCATTAAATTTTAAGAAATTTCAAGAAGATTTGAGAAAATATGATTTCTTTATCAAGAAAAAAGAAAATTCTTGGTTATTTTGATTTGAAAGGGACAGGATGGATATCAGTTGAGCAATCCCTACAAAGACTCTACTTCTGTGACACTTTGATTAAAATAAGTTGGTTTTAAGTTAAAGAAGCATTACATCAATGGATGCAATCTAGAATATCCTGAATAAGAAGGCAAGTTCAATATGGTTCAAATAGGTAAGTTTGACATTGGTATAGAGTCAACAAAAAATCTGTTGGCTAACAGAGTTAAAAAAAACACTAGTATAATTTTGGTGAGATACAGAGATAATCAGCCTATATACATATATTTGACTTGATTAGTAAAACTGTATACAGGACTGTTAGTGGTGGATAAACTTGGCACTGCTAAAGATATTCTAAAACCAATGACTATATTAACAAGGCAGTACAAAATATTGCTAATTATTAGAGTTAATTAATATCCTACAGAAATCCCTCTTCATGTCTCTTAGGAGAGTATATTAGTTGATATCCTCAAAGAAAAAGTTCGTTGTAATTGTTGAGACATTTCCTATAATAATCTTAGCATTGAGGTTGAACATAAAAGCTTAAAGTATGAATATTTTATATTATATTATTTTAATATTCCATGTGCATACCTTATGCAAATTAACTTTCTTATAGCCTCATACTGACCTTTACTTTATTGAAGGAAATTAAATTGTACATTGAATCTGCTTAGGCTCTTTCAGAATGTATTTTCCCCTCTATAATGGAGAGGCTTAAAAGAAGGCTTTAGTATCCTAAGTTATCAATTTTACTATATAATGAAATAAAAATATAGATAATTGGTAAAATATTAAAATACTAAATATTTTGTTTACTAAGGATGAAAATGAAATACCAATGTTTAAAATATTACAATATGGCAGAAATTTAAATGTCTACTACAATTAAATCTTAATATCTTAAGGATATAAGGGTTATTTCCTGGTATATTTGACATTTTTCTCAGGCTGCTTAAAATTGGTGAAACAAATATTATGACACAGATAGTTTGATTCAGTAAATATCTTAAAATCCTAAATTTTTACTTCTGATAATATATTCATATATTCAGAAATAAAAAATACCTTGCATATCTAGAAATGAAATAAATGTATTTTTCTGCATATAGTTACAAAAAAATAAACTATTTTCCATTTTATCTGAGGATGATTTTATTTTTCATGTCTTTGATGATTTCTGAGGGAATTAAGACTGCAGGTTGTATATTTTCTGATCACAATTTTGATAAAATTCAAAAATATGGCTTTATGATGATTGGTAGCACCAGTCTCATATACTGAAGAATAAGAAAAATAACTTTGGTTTCCCATGCCTCCTTTATTTTAAATTCACATTGCATCTTATTTTCAAAACTCTGAAATCATATTTCATGGACTGTACTTCTTTTATCTAAACATCCTGATTCAATTTTCATATTAAAATGTCTTTGAATGTAGCATCATGTATGCAACCAAAAATAGAAGTTTGATGTTTAATTTTACACCCAGAAATAATTTTGTTTGTAAGATAGGTTCAAAAGGAAACTCATCTATCAAAACTCATCTATCAAAAGAGAGTTTATAGATTAATGTCAATAAACTATACTTAGTTTAGGAAGATGAAGACAAACAAACCAAATCTGAAATAAATAAGCCAAGTCCATGGGATCACATAGATATGAACATAGACTTCTTCATTGATTCCAAGATAAAAAATACCCAAATGATTCTTTCAGAAATTTTAGTTTTAAGATAAATAAAAGAGCCAGGCACAGTGGTGCACACCTATAATCCCTGCAGCTCAAGGGCTGAGGCAGGAGGTTCCTGAGTTTAAAACCAGCCTCAGCAAAAGTGAGGTGTTAAGCAACTCAATGAGACCCTGTCTCTAAATAAAATACAAAATAGGGCTGAGGATGTGGCTCAGTGTTTGAGTGCCCCCGAGTTTAATCACCTATACTAAAAGAAAAAAAAGGTAAAAGAAAGAATAATAACACATGAAGTACTAAGCTTGTTGAATCAAGGGACTGTAAAACAAAAAGACCCATACAACATATTAAGATAATGCAGAAATTTATTTTCATTCAGAGAACTTTTTATTGGAATAAATTTTCTACTTCTCCAGAATCCTCTAGTATTTTTTTGACACAGTCTAAATTTCCTTTTGTATGAATCACTATTATGATTTTTTTGGTAATCCTTTATTTTATGTAGTATAATTAGAATTTTAATAAGGAGGACTTTCAATAATAGCTTGGGAATGTATGATCATGATTTTCTCTCTTATCTGAACATTTTTGTTGTTGATATCATCTGGTCAAAATCACCTAAACCATCACTTATCATTTGAAGAGATTTCACCAAACAATCCATTTTGCATCTTGCCAAAGACTCAGCCATATAACATGGAAGAAAAAAGTTAACTTCTTTGATTAAACATAATTAACATTTTCATTAGTGTTAGTCATTCCAGTGTTTATCTTATGGATGAATTAGAATATTACAAATGAGAAAATATTAGGTACTTTTTAATATGTGGATATATGTACCATATATGAAACATTAACAAGAAGCAATGAGACATTTTATAACAGAAAAGAATAAGCAGTTTAAGTTTTATAAAAACGATTTAACAAAATATATACAAATTAAGGTAGCTTATATTTAAAAATGAATTTAAGAGAATCATTTATTTTAATATATTGAACATATCTTTGGCATATAAACCAAAGAAAGATCACCTTAAAATTTTTAAATTGAATATTTATTAAATTAAATATATGATTTTAATATAAACCAGTGGAGTATCTTAATCTTCCCAAAATCTGGAAGTCTAGAATTATGTTCACAGAATCAGGACTTCCAGATTTTTGGAAGAATTTAGATAATTAATTTTAGTCACATACCTATGTAATTAACTTCCTATTTTTCAGAAAACAAAATTTTCTGATTTCTCATTGTTCTACAACGATTGCCATTCAATTAAATAATGGTGTATTATTTTCTAAATAAAACTATGCATATATATGTTGGCATGTATAAACATGGTTTTGGGTTTGATCCTCAACACCACATAAAAATAAATAAATAAATCAAAGATATGTGTCCATGTACAAGTAAAACAAAAAATAAAAATAAAAATGTTTATTTCTGGTGTGTTTGATTTCATGGAAAGTATAAATTTTGTCTCATTGTGTCACCCCAAACATTTACCTAATGAATTTTTTATGAGAATAGTGATACTATGTGATGGGAAAAAATGCACTCTACCCACTAGATAGAATAATTATAACAATTATAAGTTATTATCTTTAAAAGTCAAATTATTTGTGTTTGGTGGGTTTGTGTATGTGCTTGGGTGTATAGTACCCTGAAAATTTCTTGAATTTAAAAAATTTTTGCAAAATAGCCATCTGGAGAAAAGAAGAAATGGACAAAAAGCAGAATAGAAGAAACTAAACTGAAGTAATTACTAAAAAGAAATTCATTTCATGGGACTAAACTGAAAGACCACCATTTCCTTCATGATCATGTGGCTTATTGGAGAATGTGTTTATTACTGTGTATATCACAGTATACAGATATTCAAATAATACAAATGAATACAATTTAATGGGTTGGATAGTGATTTGCCAATTAATTTATTCCATAGTTTCAATTATCATATATTTGATTTTATAGTTGATGTTTATTTGTCACCATCTCTTTAATGTTCTGTTTTTCAATATTACATTAAAAAATTTACTTCCAAAGCCTCCATGTTAATTCATTTTCTCTGAATAAAACCTAAATACATTTCTGGGAGTTCCTACTTTAAGGGAGCTTTCAATGAGGGTGATGCCTATTTATTTATTCTATGAAATCAGTGCAAATTTCCAAGGATTGACCTTTTGAATCAGGTTTCAGCGGAAACACAATGAATCCATACTTGACCCCATCATGTAGACTACACTGAGACATACTCTGATAATGGGACAGCAGACACTGGTGCTTGACTAATTGTGTCAAAACTGCCTTGCAATTCTTTAGACCCAGGTAAGGCAAGATGCACCTGGATGTTTAGCTTGTGATACTGAAATTATTTTTCGTGAATTTACTCATATAGGTATTCCATTGGGTATAGTATCCTCAATGATAAATTACACTGTTTTGTTCATCTTTGAGTTTCTGATATACTGTTGAATAAAACAGAGGTGAAGCATGACAAATGCTTTTGAACTATGGGGAATCTGTATGATTCAATAAGAATAAATGAGGTATAAGGTATGCTAAGCTACAGGTGGCTAAGCAAGTGTGTTCCTGATTTCATTTATATCGCTTTGATCTCATTTGAGTTCATGTATAAATATTACAGTGTCTTCACATGCAACAACAGTTTGGTGTTGAGAAAATAATTGTTGGATTTCACAGGTTGATGACAAATTTTCCATCTACTTCCTTGCTCTAGTTAAATATAAAGAGTCTAAAAGCAGAATTGTGACATTTTTTGATAGGTCAGAATTTAACAGTGATTCAGTCTTTATTTTCCCCCACAATTATTGCTTATTTGTTACATTTAAGAAATCAGAGATGAAGCTATAAGTGGACTATCAAAAAATTAGTAGGTTTTTATTGTAAGTTTCTGATATTTAAAATATTTCCTTTTAAAAGTTTCATTTCTGCTGCAGAAAATTTAATTAGTAAGTAAAACACCATATAAGCATGTGTGTTTACTGTGAAATGATTTTATCCTTTAAAATCAGAGCTTGTAAAGAGTTTTATATTTTTCACATGCAATATTTTACTACTAATGCTGCTTTTAATAAACATTTTAAGTTTTTTTCTAAAAAATTATGAGTTTTATAAGGCACAACCAATAAAATGAAATGAACCAAACCAAATCAAACCAAACAAAAGACAAAATTTAGGTAAAATGCATTGATTGATACATGTGCATATTCAAGGAAAGGTGAGTGATGGTCCACGTGATCAGTCATAGGTGGATTTGCTCTCTGAGGTAAAGATGAAGGATGATTGGTTCAAAGCATGGCTTTCATATGGCTGTGTATTCTGGAGTTCAAACTATCAAAAACTCTAGTCTTTCTGGAAAAAGAAAAGTTTCTTTCTCTTTTCCTTTTTCTCTATAACTCCTGTTAGATTCACTTCTGAGCATCCAGTGATGATCAGTACCAAATAAAATTTGTTCATTAAATATTTGTCCATTCATTAAATACGTTGCAGAAAATTTATTTTAACATATTACCTTTTATTTTTATGGTTCAGTTAACATAGTTGAATACATATATTGTGGAATAAATTTGTGTGGTTATATATTTTTTCTTAAGATAGATAATAATTACAAAGTCAGGACACTAAATATAAGACCAGTTAATATAGCACAATGAAAATAAAATTGATGTGTTTAAACTTAGTTAGCAGCATAGCTAAGTGTGAGCATTTTGGAGATATATATCTTCAATATGATTTGTTGTTTTTTCTCCTAAGGAAGGACTGCTTTGTAAAAATTAAATAGTTCAGATTTTTCTTTGTGAATTTAGAAAAATATTTAAACTTTTAAAATGTTTTTGTAGTTTTTCATTTAGTTAAAATATCATGATTTACTTTTCTATGCACTGCAAAATTATAAAAGTTTTTATAAAAGTAATAGTTATCCTCATACTTTGTTCAAGGAAATCTTATTATTCTCAAAGAACATTTGTTTGATGTGTAACCAAGGCAAAAATTATAATTAAAATGTGATGCTTAAATACAGGAAATGATTTCCATAATCTCATCTACACACTGAAGTCAATTAATCTATATTTGGCACTTTACAAATATTTCAAAATTTAATCATAATAAGAACATTGTAAAAGTTTTATTCTAATATTAAAAATAAATTTTGAAGTGTAGAATATTTAAGTTACTTTCCAAACATATATTTGATAAGTAAGCAGAGCTAGAATTAAATTTAGTGAGTCTCTTGTGTATGTCTTTTGCCTCATGTTAAAGCCTTTACTCTGGCCGTGCAATGCACTACCACCCTCATAATGCTTCATTTTGTAGTTTTGTAGTATTTAATGTGAAAGTCACTTATTGAGCTTCTATTATGTACAACACTTGGTAATCTGGTAGGCAAAACTTGAAATCCACAAGCAAGGTAGTAGAATGATCTAATTCAATCCACCTCTGTCTTCTAATGTCTTTAAAGACACTGTGTTATATTGATTTGACTGCAAAAAGAAAAAAAGAAAAAGAAAAAAATCAAGTTATTTTTCCTTTTATGTATTTGTAAGTTTTCTATAAAAGTGTTCCTTATTCTTAGAGTAGCACCCATTTCAATTTTTATTCTGCAGTTTTCCTTCATCGGTCATAGTTTTTGACTCTTTTTTCTGCTTGTGCACCAATCGGAAGGTTCTTTGGAGAATATTCATTACAATACTTAAAATCAGTGAATGTGGGGACCATACAGAGCACAAGAAATAAGAAAATTTGAGTTCTTCTATAAAAGATTGTAGAGAGCAAGGGTTGCAGTTATATGAATTTCTGAGGATCAGATATCCAGTTAAGAAGTTTAGCCTTGAGCTTCTAGAGTCTCAGTTTATACATCTTCACTGTTCTTTCAGCCAGAGCTCAGTGCTATCTGTCTGTTTTTACTTGGCTTTTTTTTTACTAGTTCCATTATTGACTCTTTTTTTTTTCTGTATTTGTTCATGTTATTCCCTTCAGAGATCAAAGCTCTTTGAAGTCAGGCATTAACTGTATCAAGAAATCTTGGTACATTTTTAAAGCATCTCATTGAATATTTCATAATTCAATCAAGAAATTGGACAATTTTGAAATAGATTACAAATGGAAAAGCTAATAACAAATGTTCATGATTCCAGGACAAAGCTATTAAAATCAGCCCATGATTTTCATGATAAAATCAGAAAGCTTGTATGAAATCTTAATTCAGCACATGAAACAATCAAATTTCATGAAAAGAGACTGCCACAAAAATGAAAATACAAATCATCCAAAGAAAATTTTAAATTATTTTCCTAGATGATGCTTGCAATGTATGATTTTTGTTTTTATATTGACAACAATATAAAGAATTGAGTTAACATTAGAGTTAACATTAGTGACACAATATCTCAATATTTTCCATATTAATATCATCTTAAAAAAAAAAGATGTGGTTATTTCTTATTTGATAACAGGAAAGATAATCAACAATTAGCTAGAACTTTTACTGGCTAAATAAAAAATAAACTGTATGAAGAAATTGAAAATGTTTATTATTTTGGATAGCCAAAATTTTTATATTTTACACTTCAATTAAAATGATAACATTTGCCAAAGCCAAATGTATATCTTTAAATACAGACATTTATGGACCATGTAATACACATTTAAAATTAAATATTTCTGTAATATATGTATACTTATTAGATAATATTATTTGAATAATATAGTGTTAAATGAAAATTATAATAAGAATGTTATTAAAGGGAGAACATGCTTTGAAGATGAGAGAGGGTGACAGATGCCTGAGTCTTAAACTCATTGCTTCTTCGCCTCTTCTAATTTCTTATTTCAACCCAATTCCAAAAGTCTGAACCTGAAATCTATTTACTCCTGAGAAAATTGTCCTCTGCTCATCATTCAAACCATTGATTGCCTCCTGTTTCAATAGTAAGTTCATTTATCAGGCAAGGATATAGTCTTCTCAGTCCCAATCTGGACATATGCATCATATGATTAATTTTTAATTTCTTTATCCATTTTTTCTCCATAATCTGAATATCTTTCTGTGACCAGAAAAAAAAAATACACCGTCTAACTGGGAGAGTCTAGGCCCACTTAGGAATGAACCCAACTCTGGATCTCATTCTCACTTACCAACCTAGCTTATATTTAACCTAGAAGTTCTCTACATATCAACATGTCTTCGCAGAAGTCCCTATTGTGGGCTTAATACTAGAAGTAATCTATGGTTTTTCTTGAGCTTCCCGTCCTCTCACAATACAAGAACTAGATTACTTCACTCTATTACTAAGAGAAATAGAATATTCATTATTATGGAAAAATGCTCTCCAAATATATGGATATGTAAGTACTATATTGTAAGCATCTTGAAAAAAAAATCTAAACTAGATATTTGGTGAAACTCTTAATAATTTTGCTAAACCTTAGCCTTTACTTAACTTCACAGTCTTGTAAAATATTGCTCCTATGTCTTTGTTCCCTTTTAACTAAAAAGAAAAATTTTCTGGTTATGAATGGAGTGATATAAAATGGAAAGTTTTACAGAATATATTGAAAGATACATCATACATTTTTAAATATAAAAGCTTTGATGTATATTTTTAAAATTCTTTCATGTGGTACATTTTAAAAGATATAATAATTTCTTAATGTAAACATATTATATCTTAGAAGCTAAGATACAAGTTTACCATCAAAATGAGATCAATCAATTTTCCTTATAGCCAAATGGCAACATCTGATTTCACATCCTGGAATTCATTATAGGTAAATGAGCGTGATCGTCTCCTAAGATTTGTTGGTCTCCGAGGTCTTCCTTCTATCAATTCTAAATAGATGTCAGATTTCAGAAAACGTGTGTAGCTGTCTTGTTCCATGAGTTGATATACTCTGCTTTGTGCAGCATCAAAACTGTGGAGGGTAGGTTGGGTGATGCTCTTAGTAATGACTTCTTTGGTGTGAAAATCAAGGTTAACCTGGACAAGCAGGGAAAAAAGTGCAATTACAGTAACTTTACTTAAGCAAACACCTAGATTGATGCAAAGTTAGAGCAGGCCTAGCAAGATTGGACGCATGCGTGGTTTTTCTCAGGGGGCATAGGGTGATTTATTCTGGCCTGGAATTCCATTTGGCTCTTCTGTCTATGCTCCTCACCCTTCTCACTTTCTAATTTAGAAAAATGCAATATTGCAATGGATGTAGCATACACAGTGTTGGTTGAACTCGCTTTTTAAAGTGGGGAACTAAACTACATAGACAACATTGAGTGATGGAAAACAGGGAGGTTGGGGAATATCTAGGATTTTAATGAGACTTCTGTTGATCCCATTGCTTATTTTGTTACGTTATAACATTTCCTACAAACAAACATATGCTGAAGTATAGACGTTTCTTAAAGACAAAAATCCTTTAAGACCTTTTATTATAGTACCATTTATATACCTGGTCTGGTGGTGGTGAGTTTTCAAGTAGGAAACCAGTGTTTTTTCCTCCTGTGTAACAAGATACCATTAGCTACCCTCCTCACTGCTTTGAGATATGTATAAATTTGGCCTCAGGGAAGACAGAATAATATATTGAAACACAAAAAAGATTGAAAAATACTAAAACAAGGAAAATAACCATCATTTCTAATGGTGTAACATCCACATAGAAAATGCTACTCCATGGGTAATGTTATGATTTGGATCTTATATGGTTCCCAAAAGCCCATATAATAAAGGCTTGGTTGACAGCGTATGGTGTCATTGGGAAGTGCTGGAACCTCTAAAATATGAGGCCTAGTTGGAGAAAGTTAGATTAGTGGGTGTGCCCTTGAAATAGATATAGGAACCCTGGCCCCTTTTCTTTCTCTTTTTGCTTCCTGGCTGCCATAGTTGAGCAGTGTCCTCTGCCATGCATCTCCACCATGATGTTTTGCCTTGCCACAGACGAAACAGGGCCAAGCAACCACAGGCAGAAACCTCTGAAGTGATAATTCAAAATAGATTTTTTTTTTCCTTTCAGTTGATTTCTCTTAGCTGTTTGTCACAGCAACTTTTAGAAAGTTGATTAATTAAGACAGTATTAATTTACAAACAAAACTTTTAACAGCAACAGACCACCAATTCCACCATCTAAATAAAGAATCACCATTTATTGAATACAATAGAAATTGTAGAGAAATTTATAAATATAAACTCTAATTAATATGATAATATTTGCTAATCTCATAGCCATTTTAGCAATTGTATCACAGTTACCTATTGAGTTTGCAGTCAAAGAAAACCATGTTTTGTTTTCCATTTGATCCATTGCCAAATGTGTTTTACATCATCTATTGGGATATTTTCTTTTAGCTTATTTTGAAACAGAGTTATAATTCTTTGGGGCAAACAAAACTTTATATAGACAGATAACATTAAAATGGTACATGTTATAAACACTTCTCTGATTTTCTTGTTTTGTCACTGTTAGAAATCTTTAGTTTCTATGAGGGGCTGCTTGTGTTAAAGTGATTAACCTGAATGCGTGAAGAAATCACCAAGTTGCAGTTAATTGTATTCATTCTTAGTCTACATGAAAATAACTGAGGAGGGACTTCACTTTACCCTCTCTTCCATGATAATATCTTAACAATGTGTTCTATTTACATACAGGAATCTTTATAGACTATTTATATTAATAACTACTTTTGCTTCAACAAAAATTTTGAACTTTCCAATAAAATGTATGGGGAAACCAATTTGATTAAGGCAGATTCTCTCAAAAAATTTTCAAGCAGCTGTAAAGTTTTCCAGTCATTTTTACTATACTGTACCTCTTGGGGAGCATCACTCTGTATAAATTTCTCATATATTGCTTTTGCTTTAAGTGTAATTTGTTGAGGTTCCTTGTTTTTCTTGAAATCTTCACAGGCTATCCAAAATTCGATATTTTCTTCACTGAATTCAGTCTTAAGAAATCTGGTGAAAGCGTCCAGTCCATCTACCAAAAATACATATAAATATATATATTATGACTACAAAATGTCAATGTGGGGAATATGTGCTACTTGACATTAAAACAGAAGTACAAACACTAATAGAAATACTACACCTTCCCTGTAATGCCACACAGCAGCACACATCTGGTGCAATTTACAAGGGATCTTCTATAATTTAACTGCAAAAGTGAAAGCTTCAATTCCTGTTGAAATAAGGCTAGTATCATACTTAGATCTAAGTCCTTAGACCTAAGAGTTAGGGGGACCTCTACTGTGCAGTCAATTTATGTCTGTTTTTATTTGTGCCTCTCCCAGAGTGTGAGACCAAGAAGCCTTTCACTTGGAGCCCATCTTACATGGCTCTAGACTGTGTTTCTAGTACTCAGGACCTTAGAATTCTCTGTACAGTTTGCTAGGTTTCCAGGATTTGCATGACCCCCTATTCCCAAGACCATCCACAAAAACACACTGACTCATTGTTGAGTCAAAATTGCAGGTGGAAGCATCTACTCAAAAGTGCAGGGAGGCCTCTTTACAGTGGGGAACTAAATTACCCTGGATGGAAACAGAGTTCACCATGCTTAATCTTTACAACTGTGAAAGGGCTCAAGACTTTAAATTCAAATATAACCCTTCAAATGATTTACAAAGTATCTTTGTCTAAGTAAAAGGATAAAATGTATATTTAAGCAGTTTTTGGCTCAATCTCTAACCTTAAGCATTTAGACCTAGTATGAGGCTTTGTTTGTTTGTTTTTTTTTTCTTTTTACCTGAGTCCCATAAATGTTAAGGGGAGGTTTCAAGTCTTGTGGAAGACTGCTATGAACTCAAGTTCATATTTAGAAATTAACCATGTGGCCCTGAGTGAATTACTTTTTCTTGTACTTTAGTTTATCAGTATTTACAATTAAGAAAACAATAATAATATCTTCCTGATAGGGCTGTTGAGAGGGTTAATTGTGGTAAAATATGCCAAGGCCTTAGTATACAGACTGGTACATAGTAAGGACTTGATAAGGATTTCAATGGTGGTGGTGAGGATGGTGATAACATTCTTGGTGATCAATTATTTAAAGCTCAGTCAGATAAAATTATGTTACATAGATTTAAAATAAAAAAGTGGCAGACTTTGGATTCAGCCATAAGAGAGTTTGACTTCAAACCAGTGTTCGTTTAACTATTTTTAAAATTCGATTTTTTTTGACCTATAGGCATTTTAAAAAGTTTTTTTTTTTTTTTTCATTTTAAGAAAGTAATAGATTTACATGTACTTATAGGGAATAATAGAGAATCATGTACCTTTTGTCCAGCTTCCACCATTAAGAACTTGCAAAAATATAATAAAAATCACAACTAGGAAAATGACATTAATTGATAAAATCAAGGATATTTCATGTTGCTCTTTTTAAGTCATATTACTGTCTCTCCCACCCCCAGCTCCTTTTTAACCCCAGGAAAATCTGTATAGACTATTTATATTAATAATCACTTTTGTTTCAACTAAATCTTGAACTTTCCAATAGAATGTATGGGGAAACCAATTCAATAAAGGCAGATCCTCTCAAAAAATTTTCAAGCAGTTATAAAGGACATCTGTGTTATTTGGAGTTTGTTGTTGCTCCTGCTGCTGTTGTTTTCATATACAAAACTGCTACATAAATTTATGTACAGGTTTTCAAGTGTAAACATAAGTCATCATTTCTCTTGGATAAGTTCCAAGAAAGTGGAGTTGGTTGATTATATGGTGGAAACATTGTAGAAACGTTGAAGGGGGGAAAATATGTGTTTTTGTGGACTTCCAATTAAACTTCCTCAGAGGAAATCATATTTGAGTTGGGTTTAAGTCATTTTTAGCAATCTTCAGACTTATTCTCAGCGGTGTGACTCTCTAATTGTGGCCTATTTCTGTTCCTACTACCACAGGTAAGTTTTTACACAGGAAAAGGTCATGAATTCTACTTGGACTTCTAACTTCTTGTTGTACTGACCCCCTTTTTTAAAAATTAATTTTCTGTTGGTGCATCATAATTATACACAACCCTGGGATTCATTGCGATGTGTTCCTAAATGCATGTAGCACAATTTGGTCGATTTCATTCCCCAGTACTTTCCTTTTCCTCCCTCCATCTCTGCCCCTCATCTCCACACTCTACTCCTCTACTTTGACCACTTCTTCTTGAAATACTCCTCTTTACATGATTCTAGAGCTCCATATGTCCAAGTTCACATGGTTCACTTCTCTGTGCAATTATCTGTATATGTTTAATTTTGCTACATATCCCATTGAATGCAGGCATCTCCTTTTCTCTACTCTTCTATCTTCCCGGTCTCTTTGCCATCCTCCTGTCTTTGGTCATTTTTTTTCTCTACTCACTATTATACTTTAAACACGTTGCCAACACCTGCAGGCTAAATGAGGTATCACAAACAACTTTGGAAAATAGTTTCTGTGAGTTAAATTTTGATATCTTTAAAAGACTTCTCATTACAAGAAATCATCAAGAGAAAAATCTCTTCATCTCAAAATTCCTCTAGCTACTGAAACATCTTTCCTCCTTATAAATATAAAGTCTTCTATTAGTTTTCTATGCTTGGTCTCTTAATCTTCTCGGCCTCATTTACTTCCCAACACACTGAAATGTGGTTCTTCTTCAACACTCTACTTAAATTATTTTTTGCCAAATTTCCTCAATATTATATTCATTAAACATTTTTTTCCAGTCCATATGTTATTTCTTCTCTCTGCAACAGCATCTGTGGTGGAGATTAGTCTGAAATTCTCTTCTATGGCTCCTACACTCCTGAGTTTTGTCTTACACCTCTGTCTGTTATTTGTCTGAATTCTTCTCAGTTTATCCTTCTTCATCGTTTCCTTAAATTCATTTTTCTGGGAAATCACTTTAACACTCAAATATAATCAACATACTGACAGTTCTCAGAACTTACTTCCAATCTCTTTCCTGAACTACAAGTGATATGTACTAATATGTGGTAAGCATCTCCACTAAATTTCACACAAGAATAGTCATGCAATAGCTGAATTCATCATCTTCACTCAGAACTTTTTCTCCATATCTTTCCCATTCAATGACACCATCCACTCAAGAATTTAAACCAGATAGAACCCTGGCACTCATCATCAAGGCTAACAATTTTTTTTTTCTCATCTCAAACCCATTCATCATCAAATTTTGTTAATTTCCCTTTCTTATGTCCTCTATCAGTCTTTTTATTTGTATGATATCTGTAACTACTTCATGCTGACCAGAATTATCTCTCATATTGATTATTATAAGAACCTCCTGATTGATAACTCCCCCGACCCTCCCAGCTTATTATTCAGAGTCTAGTCAATCATCTCTTTCCATTATACAAATTCCATGATGATTCATCACTGGTTAAAATTTTTTAGTAGTGCCCTTCATCTTTTTATACTTTTTTCCCTACACTCAAAGCTCCAGTCACAGAGAAAGACTCAGTTTGATGTGGATGCCATGTTCCTGCATCTCTTGACTTTAGCCCCTGCTATGAACTCTTTGTCACTTCCTACTCCAACTTCATCACTCTATCTTTGTCAATCTAGTCCACACTGTCCTTTCAGGTTTAAATCAGAGTTTATCTTGTTTGGAAAAATTTCTCCAAACCCTCAAGAATAAGTTGGGTGTCCTTTAATTATGACTTCCTAGTATGCTAGATAACACTTAAAATATCATACTGTATTGCCTATTGTTTCCTCTGCTACATTGTGAAATTCATGAGATGAAGACCACAGTTTTATTTTCCACAAAATCTCTAGTCCCCACATGAAGAAATCAATCACTCAATAATTGTTTCATAAAAGATGTAAAATATAATTGAATTGATAACATATCATTTAAAATACAACTAGTTAAAAAAACAGTTTCAGGATATTTTACATTTTAAATAAAAATGTTTAGAACTATAATATTTATTAAAAAACTTGACAATGAGATCCATTTATTGTAAAAAAGCAAAAATAAATGTGAAACTAAATAATCTTGTTCTATTTTAAGTATGGAAACATATATGTAATTAAACAATATACCAGTTCATTAAAGAAATCAACCCTTATCTTTATCTGATGTTGTTAAACATTTAATTAATATTCTAATTTTATGCTTAACAAGCAAGATTTTTCTTATGATTTGGCTTCTTCTTTGGGTATATATAGAGAAATGGCTATTAGTGACAGCTTTATTTCTGAATCTATATTACTAAGTTGGAATCCAGTTCATGAGTTTTGCCAGTGTAAACTTTCTACTAAGAGTCGGGTCCTTTTAATCATACTATCAAGATGACACCATCAATTTTGGGAGCCTGCAAAGTTTGATGTCAGTCCATGTGGTTTTAGACAGGCTGGCAAAGTTTTGTTGAGGTACACAACTTCCCCCTGGGTATCACTGTGGGTCATTCAAGCATGTCTCTACTGCTATAATATGTTCTTCACTTAGGTCAACTAGCTTATAAATAAGTTTTCATCTTGATCTCTCCACTGAACCACTCATTCATTTATTGAAAACCAAATTATTGCATGCTGTATTTCAGCACTGTTCTAGGTACTAGAGAACAGCAGTTTTAAAGGCTGATAAATGCTTTGATGTTTAATCTATAGAGTGTTATCTTAAATAGAAGAAAATATTACTATTAAACTATATAGGAGGGCCATTACAGGGTAACAAAAACAAGACTTTCCCCTTGATGATAAATAGCTATAAAACTAGGCCAAAATAAATAGTAAGATGTTAATGCAACCCCCATCTACATCAATGATGACATTACATTTAAGTGGACTCATGTCAATTACAAGTCAGAGATTAAAAGACTAAGTTGAAAACTAAAACCAGACTATATATTGGCTACAAGAAACATTAAATATAAATCAGGAAGATGAAGAAAAGGGATTAAAATAATACACAATTCAGAGATTAAGCATAAGAATACAAAATCTGAATAAAAAATCTTATATGGTCTTAGAAGGTAA